GTCTGAAACATTGGGTTTGGTATCCAGACCAATTAGTGTGCGGCACCCGTGACTCAGTCAACCATCCCCTGTCTATGCTGCACACAAATGCATGCACCACTTGCGCCACAAGTGGCAGAAGCATAATGCTCGTGTTATGCAACCAGGGACAATCTAGCCATGTACCACATGATCTTCTTTTGTTATTCAAACGTTTTATCCCCGCGCCATTTCAATTGCAAATGAACACAACAAAAGGTTCCCGAGGCTGAATAAATTACTTTCGTGGTCGCTTCACCCAGGCGTGCAGGAGAAAATGCTGGAGTATTCGCACATAGCCAATACAACAAGTAAAGCGAATCATGTACACGTATACGTATGGTTTTATGTACCTCACTGTTCACGTGCAGATCGGTTGGATGAATTGACGAAAGACCGCTAAGGTATTTGTGTTATTTTATTCACGTCTTTGCCTTTACAGAGGCCTTTGTAATAATTTTGTTACTTAGTGAAAAATGTATAATATAGTGGATACTGTCGAGACGTCTGGCCGAGAGTCTTTAACGTCATTTGTAAGGTTCGATCAACTTGCTGGACCTTTTGGTTGTATTGTTATTTGTATTGTAATTTAGTTAATTACTAAGGGGTCCATTGCAGTCGACTGTTGTGAGTAGAGGAGACTAATGGTGTTTCTGGATGCTTAAAGGAAAGATTGCCCTTTGTTAAGGACGCAACTCCCTCGCCTTCGCTTTAAAAAAAAATCGACTGTGCATCGGGCCAGTATAAGTAGGCCTACATGCACGTGTAAGGTAGTCCAGAAAGGAGGTCACGTAGAACGTGCGTCATATGTATACCCACGTTGAAGAGACAAGACATGGGAAGTTGAAACTCGAACCGCAGAAGAATGGATAGAAACATGGCGGTAAGAAACTGATAGAATAAAGTATAAATATTTAGGACATGCACATGATGCACGTTGTGCTAAAGCAGTGACTTCCCTTTCCGTCTACCCTTTTTGCTCACTATCTGTGTGGACTGGGGGAATAAGGATCCGTGGTGAGGTCCACAAGATTAACAAGTCAACCGTATTGCATACTGATCAATGCAATCCTGTTTATGATTGTCAGATGAGTTATTGATGAACCAACTGTGTTGAATAGTTATTTCAATATACAGAGGAAACATTGACAGATGCCCTGCTTACGTGATTTATTATTTGGACAGCACGCAATAATTTGACATAAGGCGCCAGAGGCACAGTACTGAAACAATTAACACGTCGGCAATTGATAGGCCAATATTCGCTCTCGACACAGTCAAACAAGCTTGTTTTAACAATGGCACGTCCAAGGTCCATTCCAACAGTTGCAATTCTTACTGGGTTAAGGGGTAACAGAAATAGAAAACATTTAGTTCACGTGAAGTATTTCAAAATAACAATAAATGCGTAACCATTTCAAAACATCGCAAATTTAATGTTTACCCCATTAATTGTGACCCCCAAATGAATAAGGAGATCCTGCGTTTTCCCGCCCACAAAAAATCCCCTTTGGGCTGTTTGCGCTTCCCGGCTGATTGGATGACGTTATCGCCAACGCTGACATGTACAGTGTACATTGCGCAAAAGACCACGTTGTGTTTGATGTAGCTTGGCCCACAGACAAACACTGTGTCAGTTCAGGGTAGAAATTTAAAAAGCCACAGTCCTACCGTGTATTCTTGAACGGAGACATTGTTTGCCTGTAGGGCAGTGACTATATGCATGCATGACTACCAGCCAGTGCCTTTTATATGTAGCTTTAAAGGGTAGCTTCAATTTCTTCCAAGACGAACCTTTAGAATGCACATTTGTATCTCAGTTGACCTAATTTTCAACTTTTGTTACTTTTTAAAAGGGTATTTTACTACCTCTTTTGCTTTTATGCTAATGAGATTTCTACATTCACAAGAAAAGCTGTAGAATTCGTGGAACAAACTTTTCTCTTCTCTGCTGATCCGTTGTTGTGTATGCATGTGGCAGTAACCAACCATCAGTCCCTTTCCCAGAAGTAAATTTTGAGTTCACAGGAAAAACTTATGCACTGAACTAAGTCTTCCCTCAGTTATCCAGGAAATCAATGAATAATGGTGTTTAGATAACAGCACTTTTCAGTGCATTTAACCAAATACCTTTATTAATGTGACCAACTTTTCATACACTGAAGAGGAGTGTAAAGTTGAAGAAAAATGGTGTCTAAGAAAAACTCATTGCAGCTACACTTTTAAGCCTGGACCCATGGAAGACAGACATCTCGAGTGTGACGCAAACTTTCATCAAATCTACCACGAGTTTCCACATCTTTGACAACACTGGCTTTCACAGTGCACTGATTGCTGAACTTTGGGGTGGCCGAAATCCGGGGGAAAAAAAACAAAAACAACTCTTCATCGGGAAAATAGAGAAATTTAATCAAGCTTCACCTTAATGTGGGAACCAAGCTGTTCCACCTACTCCATATACTACGCCGCCCCCTATAGACCTTTGATATCACAATCGTGCAGGACCGCCATGTGTTGTGACGGTAATGAGTAGATAGTGTGATTGTAATCTATTATTCAAGACAACCAATTAAGTATGCAGCGTTCGCACGTGTACGTGGTTGAAACTGCATGCCGACAGAAATACACGCGATCACCGTGGCCAAGGCGGTCCACACGTGGTGGTATTGTTTACATTCAGTGCAATCCAGTCACGCGGGTGAAAAAAGGTTTATTATTGCCTGAAGTTGCTCAAGCTAAAGGGTTGTTAATGTGGGAAATCATTGTCGGCTTGAGTATTAAAACGTGGGTTCATTCTGCACAAACTTGCTCTTCTGTTGAAAAACTGTCAACAACCCTGCAATGCACACTGAGAACAAAACTGTAGCTCAGCTACCCACCAGGTT